AAATACCCACTGTCTTTCAACTCTGAAGTGAATATGGTGGTTAACAATGCCAAACCAAAGCCTCCTGTCAATGGTCTGTATTACACAGCAAGGAGAGAATATAAATTCATACAGTCTGAAAGCTTACTTGTTTTTGACAACTGGTTTAATAAAATCACTTGGTTTAATAAAGGCTATTATCTATCTCTATAAACCTTGCCTGATCCCAAACCAACAGTGTGATTTAATCTTATTTATCTTAATTTAATAGAATCATAGCATGGTTCAGGTTGGAAACGACCGTAAGGTCATCTAGTTCCAAGCCCCCTGTGATGGGCAGGGACATCTTCCACCAGACTAGGTTGCTCCAAGCCCTGTCCAACCTGACCTTGAACACTGCCAGAAATGGGGCATTTCCATTAATTACTGTAATGTTCTTTGATAAAACAGATTTTTTTTTTTAAATCTCAAAGTTCTGCATTTGCTTGATCACATATTTGACATGGCATTACAATTTTCATTGTTTCATCATGCCTTTGTATTTGTGAAACTAGGAAAATGTGGTTGTTAAACCACAAGAATTGCTAAGAGGAATCAGAGGCAGTCAGACTACTTCTCATTCTTCTATTTCTATAGACACATACACACCCTTACTTACCACACACATACAAACACATACATAACCAAAGACATTTAAAACAGGCTCTTCTTTTAAATTAGTTTTTGCAAATCAAACACCACATATTAAGGCAGGAAAAGAACCCACCTCAGCTCTTTGCAACAGGTATGTTTTCAAAAAACACCTATGCATATTAGTTGCAAAAGGGGCTGGGTGGGAAACCCATACGCAACAAGTACTAGGCATGCCTCTTTGTCATGTAAGTGTTCTCCTTTCTTCTTGTTTCTCTTTTCTTTGCTGAAATTTTCTGCAAAATAGTGTCAGAACTGATGCTGGGATAAATGTGGAATACCCTGGAGATGATCTGATCAGATTTCTGAGTTCCAGCAGAGTCCTATTTCTCACGTTTGACAACTAGTCTCAAGTCATAAAAATCAACAAGCTAAACCTAGTAAGAGGACACTTTAAAAAATACAACTCATTTTCCCATTATTTGTTACTGAACAACAAAAGCATCGTCTACTGCAACTGCACAAAGAGGAAAAATATCAGTGCAGCAATGTAAGAACTCTTAAGACTGCATGTAGACAGCTTGTTCTGCACACAAAGGCACCAAGGTGATGGATGGCTGTCTCCTACACAGTTTTGAGCCAAACAGGACATCATCATCAGAACTAGTACTTCCTACATCTAAAGGCAGACTCTACTGCTAGATGCAGAACCAAATCCAGGACATGATGGAGGGCAACTGTGTGTGAGAAGCCAAACAAAAAAGCAATCAATAAGCAATTCAGAAAGTTGGTTGGTGGTTTCCCTTTTTTCTGAGTCATTTTTATTTCCTCCAGGCAGTAAGAAACAATTACTGCTTTCTTCAAAACTGTTTTCCCAGAAGATAATTGCACAATTTGGTAAGTACCTGATTCTAGATAAAGCTTATTTCTTACTATAGAAGTACAGACTTTTAGTAGCTGTTTCACAGAATAGTGTGAGAAACAACCAACCAAAAAATACACTCCACTAACACTACCAAGCTGTTTTTTGTGAAGGAGTATTACTGTAACTGGATGGTAGTTTCTGGTGCCAAACATCTGCATCAGCTACCAACTTTTAGGTTGACATGCCCATAACCATTTCTCATTCCACTACTTCAGGACAGCCTCAACTAATTCCTTCAATATTATTATCTAGGGCCATTAACACCACTGTGGACACATTATCAAGTCATATCAAACATGACTGTATGCAGATAAAAATGTCTACAGCATACATATGTAGAAATTAAACACTGCACAACTTAACTAGTGCAACTGAGAAATGCCCATGTGATAACTAGCAGTCTCAATTATATGAGTAACCGACTATGGTTAGTTACAAAGCCTTGTAATAAAATGTGACAGACTTCAGATGCCAGCTTCCCTCTACACGTCTTAAGATTGAAACATGCTGGGAAAAATAGTGTGGTTTATTAAATCTGTCGATCAAGTGAACTGAATAGATTGGCATGGAACAAATGAAAAGAGCTGTAGTAACAACGCTCTTTTGATCTGCCAGTTTTGTCTGAAATCCAGTGCTGCTTTTTTCCGGCCCTTTGGAGTCATTATCTTAAAAATATGACTAATAAAACCAAATATCATTCTTTTCCTGACCTTGAAAAACTAATGCAACAGAACATGACAACTTGTTTAACATTGCTAAAAGAAAACTGGTTATTTCAGATACCAAAAACATTCAAAACATGAATTGTCAAGTATATGCCCTGTCCTTTTTAAAGCATATATTAAATTCAATAATGAGTTCTATATATACTATATGATTTCACCTTTCTCTACTCACTCTACCATTCCTATTACAATAACCGTGATCATCACATCCTTTTGTATGTGCATTCCCACAGCTAGTTGCTGCAGCATATGAGGGCTGCTCAGCAGCACATTTGGCTCATAGTTCCCATGTACCATAGAGTATGCAAACATGCTACAAGCCTATTCTAATCACCTCGCAACTCATCTTACTAAAATCAGATACAAAGTAATTCAGATATCTCAAAACACATCAGTCAGAAATGTTCATACCTTAACTTCTTAAAATTGTTTTATGGTATCACTTTGCATGTATGTTTTTAATAGGTTTGGAAAGCAGTGAAAAGAGTGAATATGAAACAAAAATATGGGCGTCACAAAAGACATTTTTTGTTTCAGTTGTTCAGTTTGTTTCTGAACATCAAGACAGTTTTAGATGTCACCAATTACAAATGGATTTACATCAATTTAGGAAAGGTCATGTTCTTGCCTAATTGAAGTCAAAATCATAACTAGAAAATTGAGTATTTGATTATCTTTCTTCTGTTACAAGATAAATAGAAGACCCATCTGCACCCTGTTTTCTAAAATTTGGCAGAAATGGCTTCATACAAGCTGCTACGTAGCTGCTTTCATGGACACGTCAGAAAATTTGAAAACAGATAAATATTATACCTATATGTGTGCCTTAAACTTCAAAACTTAATTAGAATACAAAAGTGATCATTAGGAACTCATTTTTTTGTAATACAGCGTTGACTGTGAACACTGGAAAAAAAAGAGTAAAATTTACGTTATTTTCTTGTCAGCAGGGCTCTGAATCAATAAACAACAAAAGGCACAGTACTACCATACAATATAAATTGTATCAATTATCTTCATTCTCTACATTCTAACTATGTTTCTAGAGTATTTTAGAATCCCATTTTATCTATTATTGTGGTCACCCATAGCTGTAGTGTTGCCAAACAGCATTTGTAAAGCTGTGAAAACAGGCACATTCTAAACCATTTAAACATACCATAATTGAACTCTTGAGTTGTTTCAGAAAACTGTTTTAGGCAAACTGAGGAAAGGTTAAGGAAGTTAATTTCTATTAACTAACAAGAGTTTTTAAACTAGCAGAGTGCTGAGACACTGGTAAATGGAATGTCATCTTGACCAGAATGTTTTTTTTTAATACTTCATTTATGGTGCCAAACCTTTAACAAGGCAGGCTTCTTAAATTCAGTAGGGTAAGAACTTCAGTTTATTCAGCAAGAATAACACTATTAACAGCTACTGCTCTTTCATTTCAACAGTTAGCACCCACATGTTCCAGCTCTGGTTAAAACAGGCCAGTCAAGGAAGACTGAAGCTGCTAAGGGCAGTCATCTCTGCAGTGATATTTTTAAACAGAATTTATACTGTGCTTTAAAAACAATCTGAAAGAATCAATCTACCTTATGAATCTGCTGCAGAAATACACAAAGAGAAAGATGGATGAATGAAAGTACATAAAAGCAAGTAAATCTGACTCTATTGATTTTTGAGAGGACAGTGTAGAGCACTTTGGCGAGGTCTTATATATCACTGCAAAGGATCAAACACCATTGTGTGTATGACTGAAGGATGTCAGGATTTATCATGATGCAATGCACTGTTGTATTCTTTCATTATACCCCTTTGCAAATAATCTTGTTTTCTCTGTAGAGGGAGGTAGGCCACTAAAAATTAAATAATCCTCAAAACAAACATAAGAACAATCAAAGGAAGACTCTCAAGCAGCTGTTACTAGAGAAATTCAATATTACTGAAGCAAAATTGCAAAAGTTTAGTGTACACATGCAGTATTTTTAGCATCAACTGGAGAAAGCTGGTATTTTAATAACAAGCTTTTGAAAACCAAAATGGAAAAATCTGCATGTCACAGCATAATCTCCTTCCTACTTACTTTGTTCTAAATCATAGCAAATCAATGTTTAATATTTCCCAAAGCTCTCCAGCACTCCTACTTGGCCAAATGCCTTAAAAGGATATTAATGAAAACACTCTGGTTTAGACAGCACCTCTTCACCAGATGGAACACTTCTCTTCAAGCAAAAATGCTTTCCTCTTAAAGAGTGTTTCAAATAGCCAAAATGCAAACAATACACATATCAAAATGAATTTCTGCAGGGTCTCAGGGACTTCTATTTTATATAAAAGTGACTTATCATAGTGTCTGAATTCCAAAATATACAGCTTTCAAAGTTTCATCTACTCATATAGCCATTCCCATCACATGTACCCCCCTCATGATTACATTTAAATATCACATTTATGTGATTCTATTAGCTATTTCTCCATATGCTTTTCTCCATACAGCAACAGCAAACAATTATATTTTAACTGGGGTTGCCTGGTACGTCATTTGGAAAATACAGTTACTTAAATAATGAAAAAAATGTAATGTTTTAAAAAATTAAAATTCACTAACTAAGCTACAAAGCTGTGACTGCCACTGTACATAATTGCGTGCCAACAGACTATCAAGCCCTTATTTAGAACCATGGCAGATAGAGCAAAGTCTCCTCCTCATTAACGTATCTCATAGACAAACCTAATGGAAAAAAACAATTTACCTTCTTCAGTTTCATGCCACACAATTCCTTCCAGGTTCACACTGGTCCCAGGCTCACAGGGTCCAAGGCATTCAGGTTCTGTTACTACTCCAACCTCACAAGTATTTACACCCACTGAACGAGTCCGTACCAAAAGCTGCTCGACTGGTGCTGCAATATTGGATGAAGATGGGGAAAAGTAGGAAGGCAGAATCTGAGGTGTGATACTGCTGGAAATCGGAGGTGGAGGTGCAGGTACTGTAAACAGGGGATCAACCTGAAAACAACAGATAAATTTACTATAATGGTGCTGTGAGATTTAAAACAACACAAAACAAAAAACAAAAAAATAAAAAAACTAAGAAGTTTTAAAAACCAAAAAAGCCCAGTTTGCTAAGATCACATTTGCATATGCAGGGAGGATTTGGTGTATCATGGGTTATTTCAGGCTTATGAGTTTAATTTTTTTTGACATCAGCCCAAATGCTGCACATGAAAAATAAGCTACAAAAATATCTATCATGCTAAACAAGGCCAATTGCTAAGTTTCCGCAAGACTATTCCCTCTTGTCATAGACCGCTAGTATGAAATAATAATACATTTCAAAACCAAGGATTAAGGCCACTTTTTTCTTGGCACTGACAGAGACTGATTTATGGATGGAAATTAATTTTGCAAACTGGGAACTTCATTTGCTATTTAAAGAAAAACACTTATAAAGACAGTACAAAGACATACAAATGCCATTTTCTCATGTGCATCACAGAGAAATTAGCACCTGAAATAATTCTAGTATACATATGGCATTAAATATGATCTCTTGTTATCCAACCATTTAAAATACATTAGGATCACCCACCTAATAGCTTAAAGATAACATTTACATCTTTCTACTTGAAATAATAGAAGAGGACTTTTAAAAGAAGGCAAACAGCAAATTTCTCGGAGATTTCAAAATGCATTTCTGGAAGAATGTAAATCAACAGACAACCAGTCTGTAGGACAATCTATATAGGAACTGAAGAGGTTATCTTTCCCATACGACTTCCAATATACTCAGCAGACCTGCTGTATACAGATTTGGCCTGAGGGTTCTTAGCATTTTACGGTGGCCATAAGGTTCTTTCTCATATAAAAGATAGCTAAATAAGGGTCTGAGTATGCCCAGTCAGATAGCTCAACCACCTAAACTTCGTATTTATTTGGCCCACTGGATTACAGATATCTGTCCTCGGTTCAGCAACAGCAGTCATTTTTCTCCTTCTTAGTAGCTGGTGCAGTGCTGTGTTTTGACTTTCAGCCTGGGAACAGCACTGATAACACCGATGATTTTAGTTGCTGCTCAGTAATGTTTACTCTGACCAAGGACTTTCTGAGTCTCATGCTCTGCCAGGGAGGAGCGGAAGCCAGGAGGAAGCAGACAGGACACCTGACCCAAACTAACCAAAGAGTTAATCCATACCACAGCACATCATGCCCACTATATAAACTGGGGGCAATTACCCAGAAGGGCTAGATTGCTGCTCAGGTCAGGCTGGGTATCGGTCAGCAGGTGGTGAGCGACTGTATTCTCTTCCCTTGTTACTTCCCTTATCATTATTATTACTGGTTGTAGCAGCAGTGGTTTTGTGTTATACCTTAGTTACTGGACTGTTCTTATCTCAACCTGTGGGAGTTACATTCTTTCGATTCTCCTCCCCATCCCTCTGGGAGCTGGGGGGAGGAAGGAGAGGGAATGAGCTTGCAGCTGCGTGGCTGACTGGGCTTAAACCATGACAGTTCTTTTTGGTGCCCAACGTGGGGCTCAAAGGGTTGAGATAATGACAGATGTGACCAGAGTGTGTCTAATCGTATCTGTGATAAGCATTCATTATTTTGGATTAACAGTCACTCATTACAGTACTGATTTATTGCCTCTCAAAATTGTTGCTCTTGATCTCACAGTTTCAGGATGTCGTACCTTACTTACAGCCAGTAGTCGCTGTGTTACTATTTATCAAGTGGAGGGCTTGGGCTAACGTTCTTGTTTCACTGTACATTATGGTAATGACTTGTAATACAATAGACTCATTGATCATGAAACTGATCTGGCCTGCGTTCCCACTGTGGTCACCACCTCTATACTTTGGGACGGATATAATTTGTTTAGCAATTATGCATCTTTCCCCCACTGGCCTCGGATGGTCAACCTGTGAAGGAGAAATTCCCTTACCTTCCCAGCCCCCCCAACAGACCATTTACAGTATCACTTGAGAGTTCTGAAGGTTTTGAATGGCCTTTAGGTACCTGCGTGCTGATCATGATGGGGATCAGCATGTTAGCAGACATACAGAATGTGTTTTACCCATGACCATTTCGTCTGACCTCAAAAGTTAAGCAGAGTTGGGGATGGGCCTTGTCTAGGGTTAGACGATGATATAAGAGGACCAAAAGATTTTCCCCAAGGCTGGACAGCCATGAGTAGAAGGGTGTGTGGGATAGTATGGACAAGTATCTAGGCCAGTGGGCCCCTCCACTGCTTTGGAACTTTACCACTGAACAAGTGCAAAATCCAGAAAAATTAGTAAAACACTTAAATGAGGTGCGTTGTCATCCTCGTCATACCAGAGAGGGACAAATCATGGCAACGTGCTGGGGCTTGGCCTATGCTTACAGAGCCCTGTTCAATGCTATCCAGCACCTTCAAAGGAAAAAAAATGTCTCTGGATCTGTTGGCAAAGCAACAGACAAAAGCAGCTACTCAGACTCCAAATACAGCAGCTACACCAACCCCAGTGACAAGTACAAGACCTACTCAAACTCTGACTACAGCAGATAACGCAGCTACTCCAAGTACAGCAACTACATCAACCCTAGTGATAACTGTAGCAGCTACTCAAACTCCGATCGCAACAGGCAGCGCAGCTACTCCAGCTCCAAGCACAGCAGCTACACCAGCCCCAGTGACAACTACAGCAGCTACTCAAACTCTGACTACAACACACAGTGCAGCTACTCCAGCTCCAAGCACAGCAGCTACGCCAACCCCAGCGACAAGTACAGCAGCTACCCAAACCCCGACAACAGATACTGCAGCCACCCCAACCACAGTGATAATCACTGCAGCTAAACCAGAGGACCAATTTGTGCCAATATTGGCTGCCTCTGTATGCAAGGGGAAAAGCAAAAAAGAGGCAAGAAAGATGAAGAAGAAAGATGAAGAAGCAATGGCAATGCACTTACTACCCGGGGCAGCATCTGATTAGGAGTCATCATCACATGAATCAGAGGAAGAAGAGGTGACTTCTCGACCTCGGACCTCAACCAGGCTACAGAATATGCAAACAGATTTTACCCATCAACCAGGGGAGCACATAATCACCTGGTTCCTCTGATGCTGGGACAATGGGGCCAACAGTCACAAACTAGAAGGTACAGAAGCCAAGCAGCTGGGATCATTTGCTAGGGAAGGGGGAATTGACAAAGCAATTGCAAGAGAGAAAAAGACCCTCAGCCTTTGGAAGCAGCTCTTGGCAGCTGTGAAAGAAAGGTTTCCATACAAGGACGATGTTATGAGTCGTTCGGCCAAGTGGACTACTCTAGAGAAAGGCATCCAGTCTCTGAGGGAATCGGCCATTGTAGAGACGAGCTATTGCAGGCTGGATGCCAGGAATGGACCCATAGATCCAGATGAAGTCAAATGTACACGACCCATGTGGCGGAAATTTACACAGAATGCACCGTCATCATCTGCCCATTCATTGGCAGCAATAATCTGGAATGACATAGTACCACTAACAGTGGATGAAATGATTCATAAACTCTGAGACTTCGAAGACAATCTCACCCCTTCCAACATTTCAGCTGTAGAAAAACTGTCCCAGGACCTCAAACAATTGAGAGACGATCTATCTGATCTATCCAGCTCCTCACATGTACCAACACATCTCAGCTATTACCAAAAGCATCCTGCTGCTCGAAAGAGAAGATATAGAAGGTATACACCACGGGCTACCCTATGGTTTTACCTGCAGGATCACGGAGAAGACATAAGCAAGTGGAATGGAAAACCTGCTTCAGCTCTGGAGGAATGGGTGAGTGAACTGAAGAGGAGAACAAAGGTCACGGATGATCACATGAAAGCTGCAGCTTCAGTCTCTGGTGAGCAGGTTCCCAGATGGAGTGGAGGAGCTGATTTTACTCCAGCTCCTGTGATAACGAAGAATAATCCCTGTCAATAAGACATAAGTGACCAATATTGTGATCACTATTAGAGGGGCCCTGTCTCCAGCCAGGTGGAGGTAGGGGACAATTGGATTTACTGGATTGTGTGGATCAGATGGCCTGGCACATCAGTCCCACAGAAGTATAAGGCTCTAGTAGATACCGGCGCACAGTGTACCCTGATGCCATCAAGCTGTCAAGGGCTGGAACCCATTTATATTTCGTGAGTAACAGGAGGATCCCAAGAGTTGACTGTACTGGAGGCTGACATCAGCCTGACGGGGAGGAAGTGGCAAAAGCACCCCACTGTTACTGGTCCAGAGGCTCCATGCATCCTCGGCATAGACTACCTCAGGAGAGGGTAGCTCAAAGTCCCAAAAGGGTACCGGTGGGCTTTTGGTGTTGCTGCTTTGGAGACTGAGGAAATTGAGCAGCTGTCCACCTTGCCTGGTCTCTCAGAAGATCCTTCTGTTGTGGGGTTGCTGAAGGTCGAAGAACAACAAGTGCCAATCATGACCACAACAGTGCACTGGTGGCAATATCATACCAACCGAGACTCCCTGATTCCCATCCATCAGCTGATCCGTAGACTGGAGAGTCAGGGGGTGATCAGCAGGACCCGCTCGCCCGTTAATAGCCCCATATGGCCAGTGCGAAAGTCTAATGGAGAATGGAGACTAACAGTAGGCTATCGTGGCCTGAATGAAGTCACACCACCATTGAGTGCTGCCGTACCGGACATGCTAGAACTTCAGTATGAACTAGAGTCAAAGGCAGCCAAGTGGTATGCCACGACTGATATTGCCAATGCATTTTTCTAAACTTCTTTGGCACCAGAGTGCAGGCCACAGTTCCAGCACTCTTGGAACCTACTGCCCCAGGGGTGGAAACACAGCCCTAACATTTGCCATGGACTGATCCAGACTGCACCAGAACAGGGGCAAGCTCCAGAACACCCGCAATACATTGATGACATTATTGTGTGGGGCGATACAGCGGAAGAAGTCTTTGAGAAAGGGAGGAAAATAATCCAAATCCTGCTGAAAGCCGGTTTTGCCATAAAACGGAGTAAG